AAATTTTCATTTATTTTATACACCAGTCAAAGATCCCCCTCTTCCCTCCTCCCACCCACCCCCAGCCTCCCCCTCCCAACCCACCCCCTACTCCTACCCACAAGAAGGCAAGGCCTCCCATGAGGAGGTACATCCAGTAGAGGCAAGTCCAAGCCCTTCCCCTGCCTCAAGGCTGCATGAGGTTGTCCATCATAGGTAGTGGGCTCCATAAAGCCCGCTCACGCACCAGAGGGGATGGAGAGAAACCCGGTGCTAGGGAAGTTGCCAGGAGTCACCAAGGATGACCCCAGCCTGGGCTACTAGCCACAGTGAAGAGGGAACCGAACTGAACGGGCTTGCCCCAGAGATCAGACCGGTGAATACCCTAACTGTCATCACAGAGCTTTTCTCCAATGACTGACGGAAGCAGATGCAGAGATCCACAGCCAACACCAGGCAGAGCTCCAGGAGTCCAGTCACAGAGAGAGAAGAGGGATTCTGTGAGCAAGTGCATCAGGATCATGATGGGGAAACATGCAGATAAATAAATCTTAAAAAAAAAATTTTTTTGGTAGCCGGGCGATGGTGGTGCATGCCTTTAGTCCCAGCACTCGGGAGGGAGAGGCAGGTGGATCTCTGTGAGTTCGAGGCCAGCCTGGTCTACAGAGTGAGTTCCAGGAAAGGCTCCAAAGCTACACAGAGAAACCCTGTCTGGAAAAACCAAAAAAAAAAAAATTTTTTTTTTGTAAAAAGTAATTCTTATTACAGTTTGCTGCAGTTTTTCCAGGAATACTATTTCATAGTTGCAGTATGTGGTACTTCTTGTTCAAATGGTAACTTTCAGAATGATGCCGGGCGGTGGTGGCGGTGGTGGCACAGCCTGTAATACCAGCACTGGGCAGTTGGGGTCAGGCTCAGCTACACAGATCAGGCTGGACTGACTACATGAGACCCTGACTCAAAAAAAAGGTGACTGAACCATGGAATAGTGTAAGCATTGTCTATGTCCACCTTGTCCAACCTAACAAACAATATTCCCACTGTCTGATGCCATCTAGCTCCTCCAGTTAATTCACACTGGTCTTTGTATTTGTTTACGCTGGAAGGAGGCATCATCAATGAAGATGAATGTTGGTCTTGAGTGGTCGTGATTTTTGCTGGCCCTGGAGCTTTCTCTAGGGGAAGGTAAGAAAATACA